TTTTCGACTGGTGAAACCGTTTTTGCCTTCGGAGTAGATTTGCTCTAAAAATCCATTGTTTTAAATATTTTTAGGTCTCTGGGGAAACACCGCTCTGACATTGATAGTCGTACCATTGGTCCGACACTTTCCTCACACCTTTCTAAGCACTCAAAATCTTAATTGCCTTTGGCATAGCCGTTCCGCCTTTGGTAAAAACACCTTTCAGCAAAGTCAAACAAGGGTACTTATTGATTAGCCCTCGTAATCATTGCCTAATACTACAACATAACATTACAATTGGAGTAAAGCAGAAGTGCATGTAATCGATTTTATACAGATAACAAGCTGGTCGTGCCTATCGTGGGTGGGCTACATATTTCTGTTTACAATTATGTATGTACGAGTAAATATGGGACATACATACTTGTAGATCTAATTTCCAGGAAAGTTCTAAAATATGTGCGTACAAAAGATGTGCTAGCAACAATACAAAAGAGAAATTCGAATCTGGCTTTTTTATTCAATCCTAAATGAAATCTGACCAACATATAAATTAACGTGCATGTACTTATGTACACACATTTATTTCATGCGGGCGCCATCCATTTAATTCGCAACTCAAGTCTATTTGGTGTCTTCAATTGTACATAAGTATATGGTAGATATGTATCTGTATTATATAGCGTTGTTAGCAGATGCAATCGTTAAACACGTTGCAGTTCTTCTTCATCTAAGAGTGTGAACAAAGTGCGAAGTTGATCGGACGACGACAATCATAACATACTTGTACACTTTTAGTAATACTTGTAAAAGACGAACACAATTGTTCAAAATAAATCAGTAGATTTTCCAAAATAGCATCTCAATGCTTACACGGTAAACTAAATTTTGTGCACAGGTGTAATACTCCTAATGGATTTACAATTACCATTCAGCTAGGCAGGAAAAACTGATTTATTATATAGGTGTTATGTTATATCCGAAGCTCAATCAAATAAGTACATAACTATAACTACTTCATGCAAGTATATTCATGCCTATAGGATCTTTAAGAATTATTGTAAGTGGGGGAACTACAAATGATGTAAAAAATGGCAAGCTGGAAATTTGTTGCAGTTGTCGGTTCCGCGAAAATCTGAGCAAAATATGCCTGAGTAGGGACAAAGCTTGCCGGACTCCCCAACGGGTCTGTGATTCTTCACCTTTAGCTTTTAATGATATTTTATCTTTGGCATTTAAGTATTGTTTTCTTTTATCTTATATAGCTATTTTTTCGCCACTTCTTCTTTATTAGGTCTAATAACGTCTCTCTACTGTGAATCGGGGCATAGCTGGCCGTTTGGAAAATAAAATTCCCCCACCGAGTCGGATTCGTTATTAGATATTTGTGTCATTTTTATAGCCTTTTTTCTTTAGTTTTATTTAGCTTAAGATTACTATTGTATTGATTTTTATTTTTGCATCGACAGCATTGTTTGCCGATGAAATAAATAAATAAATAGATATTCTGGGTCTCTTTTAAGTCACATAATTCGTGGGAGATCAGCCCAGCCATAATTTCTGTACTGCAATTGCGGCATTTGTCTATTACGATACGCTTTCAAAGAGTAGATGTTAGAAGTATTTAAGCGTAGTCGTAAGTGACATTTAGCGATTGGCCCAAACATTGCTAGTGTCGAGACAGATCGTTATGTCCGCTCCTCTGTCCATGAGTCTCGAAGAACAATACTTGGTATGTATGTATGGCTCTCCTAGTATTAGGAAACGCGAGTTTCGTCCTCCTCCCCCGCCAATAAGATGGTGGAACAAACGCAAATAAAACAGAAGTACTAGAATGGCCTCAATAACTCGCACACACAATAAGAATCCCAACATAGAAATCACATTCTAATTTTTTGCAATTTCTTTTCTTAACTGCTGCCGGAGTCTAGCATTTATACTACATTGATATCTTATCGAACACTTCAGAACTCTTAAAGACATATAATTTTTATCGCACGGTTATTAAACTGTGTATTTCCAAAGTAACAGAACTGTACATTTATGGGGAATGGATTTCTATAATTAAAGTGAGGGGCGCATTTATTCGGCTGTCTAGTTTGTTTCTTCAAGTCTAGGGCTAAGCTGGTGGCAATGACAGTCATTTCAAAATTGTCAACGCCGCCGTCGTCCAATGAGCTTGTCGTCGTATCAAATAGCAAGTTATGTGAATGCACCCATTTAAGGCGACCAACAACAACAACAGCAACAAAAACAACAACAACAACAACAACGGCAGCAAGAGCGGCCGAACATTAACGATATGTCAACTACTGTTAGCTGCGGTCACGTTGCATATACGAGTAGGCCGCCTAGGGTGGGCCTGATGTGCCGGATTCTGGTCTTTAGTCTGCAGTCTTAGTCCTTGTCTCATTGTGGATCTCTCTCGCCTTCTCCCTCTTTTCCGACTCTTTGTGTTTCTGAGTTGCTGCACAATTTGGTGGGTGCGGCCTCCGCCACCGCCACTGCCGCTGCCTTCGACTGCGACTAGCACACAAGCTCGCGCGAGCTTCAACAGCAACAACAACATGGCTGAAAAAGTGGCACTGTGGGCATTACGCCCACCAAAAATGGGAAGCACCAGCAACAGAGAAACAACAACTGGACAGCGAAAGCGACAGCGACAGTAGACATTCACTGCAAAAGTTGATCCGTCTACATATGTACATACATTTGTACGTATGTATGTATGTATATGTATGCACATACTTATGTATGGGTGTATGGAGAATGGCCCCAAATTTCCATCATGGGCGCTATGCTCACCACCTTTAATATGGCTGTAGTACGCTTTTAAAGCGATTTCCAAAAGGGAAATGTTTTCAAATAAATTCTAAGGCACTGCTAACCTACATACACATAGCGTATGTGTATTATACTTGCATGTACATACTTAATTATGTATATATGCATATATGTATGTATGTATTTTGAAAAAATTGGGTTGAAAAACAAACTTGCACAGCGTACATATACTTTACCTTCTCCACTGGTTATCCCTCCGGTACAGGGTATAAATAGATTTGATTAAAATTTGAGTATGTTATGCTCATAATATAAAGCCAATACATCCAAAATTAAGTGAAGATAACTAACTACTTGTAAACAGAAAGGCGAACAAAACCGACCGGTTTTGAAAAATGTCTGTTTGCAGGTAAAGAACTGAATGCATCGTCATAGTTTCGCACCGTGTGTAGCACGTTGGATCTATTGCGCTATCATTCGACCAATCGCACTTTATGGGATCTTCGTATGGTGGCCGGAGCTGAACAGATCGTCTGCTCTCACACTGCTCAGCAAGGTGCCATCCCTGGACGCCAAAAAGACACGAAAACTATTGAGATCAGGCAGCCTTCCTGTCTAGCTGATAGTGGGGACGCCCAGTTGATGCTGCAAGACTTGGCGTCCCCTACAAAGAATTGTGCAGAAATTATGAAGAGGGGAGGAGAATGGCTGACATTGCCCAGAGCAAGGTAGGCGCAGGTTTCTTGCCCTAGGACGCCCATTCTTGAATGATCTCTCCGAACAGACAAAAATTGAGTGTGTGAAAAATTGCAAAATTCTTAAGAATGGTGGTTGAAGTAGTGGAAAAATTAGATTATATGGTATCACAATGGGCCATTCAGGTCTAAGTAAGTGGGTGATCACCACCACCCCAGCCATTGCAACCTAACCCCCACATACTATGTACAAAATGAACAAAAATACAAAAAAAAAGCGAGCGGGCTGAACTTTTAAATACCCTGTACCCACCTCCTGTACCCTATAATTAATTATGTTCAATTTTTATTGATTCGCGCAAAAATCGGTTCAATGTGAATGAAATTACATTATTACTAATAAAATAAGCTTGAAATTGTCATTCTGCTCACTCTTTTTAGTACACTTATCATGATTCAATAATAATCGCTTATAAGTTCTAAGCGGTTGGCTTGATTTCTTGTTCTTAAAGGAATTTAAGAAGAATTTAAAAAGAATAAAAAGGTCCTACTCCTTCAAGGAATAAAAACCCAATTTTTTCACGAAGTCATTCAAATATAAAAATGAACTCCGTTATGATCAACATATTCCAAATCTCACCGCAATAATACAAAAAACAAATAAGCTGTATCATTTATGTTGTGCGCTCATACCATTAGACTACTTGTAGAAAATTGTTTCCCCAAAAGTTGTTTGTTCACTTTTGTTTATACTAATTAGGTACATTGCATAAATAAGAAATCAATGAGCATACAGCTAAAGCTCTTGTGTACTTGTAAAGCAAAGAGAACAATAAGAACAAACTTAATGCTGCAGTTTGTGGGCGTAATACTGGAGAGAAATTGTTCGCTAATAACTTGTCTTAGAAATGACCGATTTCGATTAAATTTAAATAAAAGTAGTTTGGTTTACGTTTTTTTTGAAACGTAGACAGTAAGTTGTTATTGTGTAGAGGGGTGGGGGGAGGGAAATTTTTTAAAATAAAATAAACTCGTGTAGCTTAGGGACTAGGAGCGTCCACATACCACGATTGGTTTGCGAAACGAGGACATTTATAAAATACACTTGAACCGCGTACGCATACGGGTATACGTAAAAGGCGGCTGTGTACAAAATGTTGTGTCTCTAGCTCTTATACTTTCTGATATCTGTGCGTTCATACGGATAGACACTGTGAGTTCCGCCACGCCCCCTCTGCGTATTACATACATATGTATGTATGTACATTCGCACTAAACTAGTACATCCTTTAACCCTTTGGGTACAGGGTTTAAGAATACCAAATTTGCATAAGATATCGTTACATAATATTTAGTTAGGAGATTTTCTCGCCGATCCGTCTAATGTCAATAATGTATAAGTCTAAGTACCAAGTATTATGTGCTGTTTTTAGTTGTTATGGCTGGGAAATTAGAAATTTTTTGAGTTGGTAATTCGTATAATTGGAAACCACTGTGCGCTAACTAATTTGTTGGTTAATTAAATGTAAATGCACTTACGTTTTGGATATAAAGGCGGCCGACATTTTGTTGCTCCTGTGCTGCTGCTGCTGCTACTACTGTTGATGACGTTCACGCCTGCGCTGCTGCCACCACCCGCACCCGCGCCCGCACCACTCCCACTCAACAAACCGCCATCGAAGAGGCGACGCTGCGGTAGAAACGCCGTTTTGCTGTTTGTTTGTTTATGTCTGCCTTGCAAAAAAGAAGTGAAAAAAATTACAGTGGAGTTGCTGCTGACGATTACGCTGTTTTTGTTGTTCCTGCTTGTGTTCAAGCTATGTATGTATGTACATATGTATGTATAATATTGGGGCTGCATTAACACTGCGATTGTTTTGCTTGCTCAGATATAATTATTTGTTTATGGTTATTACAAAGCGTCGCACACTCGCAAACACACTCACACGGTTCTTTTAACGGTTATTTGCGTTTATCTGGCTTTATAAACGACCTTACAGCCAATGTGGTCTACACAGCAACATCCACAATAACAAAATGGTGCTCATAGGACTTGCATATACACATATGTACATACACACATACATGCATACATACTTAGAAAAACTCATTGCACGCAAACTAAATAAATGTGCAACGCTCCACAATTCAAATTGACTTTTAAGGTTTCACTTAAGCGCATTCATTAAAAGGGCGTATTCATACATAGGTATGTACATACATATGTATGTATGTGTGTAGATAAATACATACATATGGCATGTACATACATACATAGTAATATGTTTATACAAATATGTATATATGTATGTACATATACACAAACATATGCATTCTTCTTTGCATGTGTGATATATCCTGAAAATACCGTTTTCATGTAATTGGAAGTCACATGTACATGCACATACACATACATACACACAGTCACTCTTAAATGCAGCATGAACAACTGGAAGAACATAGCATACAAAAATAACGGTGCTTTGACAGCTGTTTGACGTTTGCTGCCTAGTTGCATCTGCCAGTGCATCACCTTGACCTACACGAACACAAAATTACAACAACAATAAATAGCGGTGAACGGAGCTCTTCTCATTTTGAACGTTCGGGTTTGTCTATAGCCTTGTCATTTCTGTTGAGCCTATAAAACAATGCATATGCAATCGCTGCAGCCGCAATTGCAGCGAAAGCAAACACACACACACGAGCAGAGAGCAACCAACCACCCAACACACAGAAAAAAAGTCAAAGTAGATCCTCAACAAACACACAAAAGTGTATACAAAAAAAAAATACAAAAAATAACACACACTTTGTTGTTAACAATTTCCGTTGCACTTCTATCCCGAAATTCGCCACGGGACTTTTCTCTTAAAACGGACCAGAAAAAAAACAGCAACACGACCAACTAGTCCCATATGCCTTGCATCACTAAAATGTGTGCATTTTATATCTGCCTGGCCACAATAAAAACAATGCTGCCATGCGCGGCAAATGGCCGGACCGCGAGACATTGAAGTGCCTTGGCCGATGGTGGCAACGCTGGATCGTAACATATGATAGCGAGGGCAAGCGTTCAAATGCTGGGTGATATATCACTTCAAATGCAACAATGTGCAACAATTTATTTAGCGCGTATCGACGTTGGGAGTTATTGAATTTAAATCTAAATTTAAATGCAAATGTTTTTTTCTTGGCAGGGCGTAACTTCATGCTATTCTATTGTGGAAAACTCCACATAACGTATCAAAATGATGTAAATATGTTGAGTTGTAGAATATATATATGGTATGTGTGTACATATGTATATGTATATGCTATATACATACATATACAACATTTGTTATACTTTTTTTTCTACAATTCTTTTTTGCAATAGTATTTATTGCGAGGCATGAAAGCAGCGCCTACCACACCACCAACTCTCACTACCTTGCTGCCGCCACAGTCGGAATAGCTTCTGCTTCTGCCAACGCTAGCGTCAGGCGTTAGTATTAGTATTACCGTCGACAGACATCAACATCTCTGGCTCAAAGCACGCCCCAGTCAGTTGAACTTAAACGGCGTTGGGAATCGGACGCGTCTGAAAGAGCTTGGCTGCCGCTGCACACATCAACACGCATACACACTTCCAAAGTAAGCAGCCACTGCGTTAAAGTCAAGTCGCGTCTCCAAGCCTACCATATATCTGGCCAATTACCGTTACAGCTGCCCACGAGTTCCTTTAAGTGTTTTTTGTTTTAAGTGATATTGTTGTTTGTGGTCCTATTGCGTCAGTTCGTGGGGCAGCCCGGCTAATTAAATAGCGACGCGTAGGCTGTCAAAAAAAAAAAAAAAAGTCCGGAAGAGAAACCTTTTCATTTCATTGTTTGTTTATTTGTTAACCACTTACGCATACGAATGTTGCTGTTGTTGTTTTTTTTTGCAAACGAAAGTGTGTGAATTTAATGATGCCGAAGCCCCAAGCAAGCGCTGAAGTGGAAGTCCCTTATTGCATGAATAGAAGTTGATTGTATTTTATGCACATTTTTTGCAGCCGACAGATAACATTCGCCACAAGATAAAAGTAACCGTACAAATCGAGTACAGGCGTCAGGCATACTTACGTACATACATATGTACACATAAGTAACAACAACAACAACAACAACAAAAAAGTGCAGGTAATTATTTAACAACACTCCATATATGTATGTGCATATTCCATATATTCTAAGTTGCATTGCGCGATGTGCTGCACGTGTAAGTTGAAGATCAAGGCCGCACATCCTCGCACAGCATAGTCCCAGTTGCAGCTGGCATTGGCATTGGCGCTGAGACTGACGCTAACAGAACCGTTGGCCAAGGTGAAGGTTATTGCAAAAGCGCATAGACTGCAGACTGCAGAGCGTGCGCGCAGTGTCCTGCCAGCAGTTTTGTTGTTATATAAACAACAGCCTGCATGGCCACCCCAACACACTCCCACAAGACATCCCCTCATTCAACGCCCCCACCTTCGCGTCCCTTGGCAACCAGCCCCTTTCAAAGCACAAACAACTCACATGTACACTCACCACTAACCCAGTGCACGTGTGCGCATGTCTCTGGCGAACGCGGCACTCTCTCCTCTATCCCTGCTGATGTCCTCTTGCTTTCTCTCCACATCAAAGTCATCGCCTCAGCCTCAGCCTCAGCCACTGTCTCTGTCAATGCCATGGGCCATGGCTAGTCCAGTCCAGTGGCCCGCCCCCAGCATTGAACTTGAAAACCACCGTTCAGCCACTTTCAATGAAACGAATTCTGTTCACAAAAATGCGACTGTTACTGCGACTCGACAGAAAACAGTAACAAGGTTAGTGGGTTAACCTGGTCTGTAACGGCTCTTTCACCTACGCTCGCATCGCTATTTCTAAAGCCGTCGCAGTTGCTGTCGTCGGCGTCGGCCGGATTTAAAACCCGTTATAAATATAAAGTGCTGCTTGCTCATGATGGGACCTCGGTGCTCAAAACTTGGCAGCAAGCAATGCCGTTTCTTCACATTCTGTTGCCGTTGTCCATTAAAAGCCACTTACAATTCATGCGACTGTCGTTGCTGGCGTCGGCGTCGGCAGCGACATCGACATCAACGTCCACATCGGTTGTTGCATTTGTAACCAGCGCTGTGTACTCCAAACAATTACTTTCCATGTTTATAGCACAAATTGAAAATCATGCAAATGCATTGCTCGAAGTTTGTCTGTGGTATGCAAATAACTATTTAATTAGCCTCTAGAGGACGAGGGGGGAAGAAGAGTGTCTGAATGGGGAGTGAAAGGGGCGTTTTAAAAGAAATTCAACCGTATATTTATGCATTCAAAATTTGCGTTTTTCTCAAATACCAGTCAATATAAATGTTCCATTAATATTATTCATAACATCCCACTGTCCATGTTATGGCCATTCGAATGATCTGTTTCTATGCAAAATACTATAGTCTCCTAATTTAGAACTTTAAGGATCTGGATTACCGTATTTAATAGCTGTTTTGCTTGAAGAACTTTTTTAAAGATACTCGTACCATATCGGAGTCATATCAAAAGAAGAGATGTGCATTCTGGGCAGACATCAAACTACTTACGTTTGATAGTTAATACAAGTTTTAATTTTAAATACTAGCGTTCGCAAACGCAAGAAGGAAAGCAGACCGCCGGTCATTCACTGTGATACATGAATATATAGTATACTTGTAGTACTCGTATATTGGCGTTACAATGCACTCCATTCCGAAGCACACCCATACCCATACCCATACCCATACCCATAGCCATACCCACACCATAGCCAAAGCGATCTGAATGGTGTAAGTGAACATAAAGCACTCATGTGCATTCATGTGTAACTATTTGAGCGTGCTGCAGAGTTCGATGCCTCGATGTTGTAGTTTGTCAATTGCATTTCAAGCCACGACTAACACTTGGCTGATGGATTAACGAAATGATAAACAAAAAAGCTGTACAAGAGCCCGAAAAGAGTGACTTACTGCTGCACGTTGTACGAGTTAATAATGGGTAGATGAAATGACATTTTCAAGCGCAAGACAAGTTACTTGTTAATGGAAAAAGGAAAACCGAAATGAAGTCATTAAACGCCCGAACTTGGGGCACCGGGCGGTTGGTTGAGGGGTGGGCCTGGATAATCAGTCAAGTGGTGGAAGTGATAATGACTGTAAAAACGGAAAATAACTGAGTTGAACAAAAGCGAAAAATAACATCCAGCCAGCAACAACAAGCAGAGACCGAAATGAGCTTTTCTTTTTTCAGCTGTTGTTTTCATTTCACTTTCACTGCCTGAGCGACGAACTGGGACAGCGGCCGTCAATAGGTTAATAGCGGGCCAAATGGCAGCCCCTCTGCGAGCCCATTTTAAAGGAGAACTCTCGATTTCCGAAACGCTCTAATAACCCAGCCAATTGATGCCACAAAAACGCACTCGTCTCGAAAATTGCGCTAGAACTTTATTTGTATTTTTTGGTCGGACGTAACGATGATATGCTCACCTACATACTTGTATTTACATATTCGTCGAAGTTTGTGTTGTCGTTAAAAAAGAAAGTGGCTGCTCAGATGCCGGCTAAGCTGGCGATCCAACTGCGCACGGCTGTAACGCGTGCAAAACCATCGGGCGCGGCCTGAGCGCATGTGCCCACGACAAAGCTGGTTATGCCGATAAGTTGGCCCTTGTAGATGGCTGGGCCGCCGGAGTCCCCTTGACAGACGCCTGTGCTGGTGTCGTGCAACAAGCAAATGATGGAGTTGGGTACTGAGCGGAGATAGCGTGAGCACGCCGCACGTGATATTGCCTTCAGGTTCGTGTAGAGCAGCACATTGGAAATGGGACCACCAGCACGCACATAGCCCCATCCGGAGGTTTGCACGATCGCATTATCCGGCGGATCGGCTTGGGCAAGTTGAATGGCTCCAATGTTGGGACCAAAGGTGAGCGGCTTCTGCAATCGGAGTACTGCTACATCGAAGCCAATAGCTGGATTGTTAGAACTGTGTTGTGCGTGAGCGCGAATCCCGGCCACATTCACAAATACACCGCCGCTATGTAGAACCACACTTCCTGCTTGTATGGAGAACTGACTGGCTGGGATCCTGTGGGGAGGGAATATGAGGCGAACGTTTTTAAAAAATCCCTTTAAAATAGTAATCATTAGTTGTCTAATTAGTATGTACATCACTTACACCTTGCCACCCGACTTGACACAATGGGCTGCCGTGACGACAAAGCTGCGGGAAATGATGGATCCACCACAGACATGTCGACCATTTTGACGGAGCGAGACCTGGTGCTTGAATTGTCCTAAATGAGCATGTTCACCATTTACCACGCGGGGCTGTGGACTGAACTCCAGCGGAATAATTGTGCTGGGCACATAGTATTCCTGTGCCTTTACGGCAATAAGAAACAAGAGGAGCACAACTGAAAGCGATTGCATGGCTCCGTCTCCCACTGGAATATCGGCGAAGTTCTGTGCGCCTCAGCTTTATATCTAAGAATTCAGTACTAGATTCGTACTAAGCGTTCATCATCATTATTAACATCAGTCAAGAGAGAGTAATGAGTGTTGGCTTTAGTTTAGTGTTATCTTAATTACGCTAATTACGCCACGAGCACGTGCCACCGCTGCACCCTTCCCTGCTACTTGTACATTTCAGTTACATTGCTTGGGTGCACTGCACCACTCGTTTATTGCTTACAACTTAGCATTCTTGATAATCCAATCGCGATGATAAAATACTTTGGCATAGCCATCTGGCAGGTTGGAGCCACAACCACCCATGACAAAGCCCGCAATGCCCACGATCTCGTTATTGTAAACGGCCGGACCGCCAGAGTCGCCGTTGCAGGCGCCATTGTTCCTCTCATGGCCGAGGCAGATCAAACTACTGCTGAACATTAAGGTAGACGTCTGGCATCGTAGGTTTGACAAAGCGCTCAGTACGTTCCACTGCAGTTGACGTGGTAAGTCGCCGTTGGTCTTCAGGCGACCCCAGCCCGAGATCACGACATCGGCCCCCGCGGGAGTATCAGTGCTAGCTATCTGAATGGGTGCGATTCGGTCTGAGTAGATGAGCGGTGACTCCAAAAGCAATAGCGCCAAATCGTTTAAGAAGCTTCCGTAATTCTCATGCACAATGACGTCAGCCACATTGATAACCACACCGTTGCTCAAGCGATCAAGGGAGCCGGCTCGAATGCTCAACTGGTTGGCGGGCGTGCTATATACGAGTGGTGTAATGAAGAGGAATCATATTAGAGTAGAGCACCAAAGGGTCAGCCACAGCCACTTACACAACCAGCTCGCCCGTTTCCCCATCTTCGGCGGTAACACAATGCGCAGCGGTCAGAATGTAATTCCGGCTGATGATGGACCCACCACACGTGTGAGAGCCTTTGTAGCGCAGCGACACCTGATGAGGAAATTGAGCATCCACGGCGTCTGCCCCACCTACTACACGACCCGCAGGAACGTCAGTCGGTGCGGCGGTAGCCAAGACCAAAGTAGCGCACGCAATCAACAGAGTAACCAGCATGTCGACAGCTCCTTAGTTCTGTTCGGCCTCCCCAATGATACGCACCGTTTTATGCTCACCGATCGATCGGCCGAGCGACCTCGCGCAGTCTATCTAATCAAGGTGCTAACTGATTTACGTTAAGCTGATTTCGACTGGATTGGATAATTTATAGCGCAATTCTTGGTAATAATCTTTTCAGCACCCAGGGTCTAAGAATTCTTGAATTTTGATTGGTTCATACTTCGATTACCTTCCCTAATGCACACATACTGGTTCCATCATATTCTAACATTTTTGACATTTATCCATTACTTGATGAAGATTTAATATTGTTATCTGCTATAATTAATTGCCTAAATTAGCGATTTCAAGCAGGCGCTCTAAAGATTCCCATTTCCTCGCAAATCGTACTTCCATGTAAAATCGTACTTTTGCATGCATTGTATCGAATAGTATTTGGCACTAAGATCAAGCTCGATTCAAGGAAGGCCATGTTACAGGAACAGGGTATATACAAGTACAAGTCGAATGCCATTAAACATTTAACTCTGCTTGTCCTTTTTATACCCTGTACCCAAAGGGTACAAGGGTATATTAGTTTTGTGCGAGTGCACATGGAACACACAGAAGGAGGCTTGGTAGACCCCACAAAGTATATATATTCTTGATCAGCATGACAAGCCGAGTCGATATAGCCATGTCCGTCTGTCTGTCCGTCTGTCCGTCTGTCTGTCTGTATGAACGCAAGGATCTCCGAAAGTATAAGAGCGAGAATAACCAAACTTGGTATACAGATTCTCCTGAGACCGAGAAAGGACGAGTTTGTTCATTTTTTCTGATCCATCCCCCCACTCCCCCCCTATTAACGATTTTCTATAACTCCCGTAATTCTTGGAATTTTGAACTAAAATTTGGTAGTCACATTAGGTTAGTAATTATATATCCGTATACCAAGTTTCATTATGATAGAATGATCGGAAAGAAAGTTATAGCCATATAACCAGGCCCAATGCACACATACATACATATGTACAAGTACACAAACACGCATAAGGCACAATTCTGATGTAAATGTAAATGTATGTATGCATGCATGGAATATTTTATATTTAATTTAGTTAATTAATTAAATTAATTTAGTTAATTAATTAAATTAAATTAATTAATTAATTTAATTAAATTAATTTAATTACTTTTTTGTGGGGTGGTACAGGGTATTTAAGTGTTGAGCCTGCTCGACTTTAGCATTCCTTTCTTGTTAGGGTTCCAGTTTGCTTTAACAGTTAAAACATAAAACAAGAAGAACTAGTGTACTCCCGAACATACCTTGTAGTCGTCCCCCTCCCCCTGAATAATCTTTCATTGTATTCGCAGCATAATTCTTACTTTTTTCTCATATTAAATGTACAAGACTGTATTAGGAGAAGAGGCAGACAAAGTATGTACAGATCCCGTAATTCTTGGAATTTTTCACTCAAATTTGGCAAATTCCTCCAGTTAGTTATTATGTGTCCGTATGATAAGTTTCATCTTGATAGGTCGTGTTGAAAGGAAAATAAAGCCATAAATGTAATCTCTGGCCAAGCACTGTCCGCAGCTCTTGTTGTTGTTGCTGCTTTGGCTCAACTCTGTACTGCATACATGCTCACACACAGATCCTCACAGACTCCCATAGACACAATTCCTATGTTCAGTTACATAGCCTTTAAGTGAGTTCGAATACCCTAGGAGCTATAATCGGTCAAATAATTTTTTGTAATATTACGAGCAAGTTAATTAGCTACTCTTATTTTGTTTTAAAATTGATTTTTCCATCAACAAAGCAAAAGGATGTTTGGGCTTAATTTAAAATGGGTAACTGATTCATAGACCTCCAAATAGATTTATACATTTGTTATGAAATGAAATCTCAACGAATCTCGTATTGAATCCACTGAGAACCAGCTTTTAAGACTACTTATCCCTAGATGTGCATTGTCATCGCTTCAGACTGACTCAAGAATGCAGAACACAAGAGCAAAATATGAGCACGATAAGAACAAAAGGAAGGAGGGAGAGCATTGTTGTGAATATAAACCAGCAGACAAGATGTTCATAATTAAAAACTGCTAAATCAGTTTTGTTCCATAAAGTAAATGTTCTAGTGTTAGTTAATATCACTTTGTTGGCACCCCTTTCCAACCAGAGGGCCACAACTTCAAAAGGCAGTCTTAACACTATTTGAAAAATTTAAATTTAAATTAAATAAATATAGATTAGAAATGTAAAGATTTGGAGTGACTCTCATTTATCTTCGGAGCAACAAGCCCCCCTTTCCCAAAAGAATATTAATTAACACTCTCTTTCTATTTTACATCAAAGCAAAACTACGAGCAATGCTTATTGTCGAGTTTAAGGTCATGCGTCTTTTTCAAAATGAGTAGCTTAACATACTGTAGTCATGATCTTTGATAATGAACGAAATAGTAATGATTATGATCATTAATTGTTTTTACCTTTTTTGTGAAATTTTGATAGCTTGTGGTCTTATCGCTGATAATCGCTTAGTTGGGAAGTCTTAATAGTGACTAGAAATATCGCATTTGGTGCCAAAAAACCCATGAATAGCCACCCACCTAATACATAAAACGTGAAATATAATAATACATAACACACAAAACGAAAGAATTAATAATTTATAACACGTATAATTGACCGTAAGAAAAAAAAAGAAGTATATATGTATGTTTGCCTTTGCTTTAGGCTTTTAGTTCTCCTCCTGAAGTAGAGGATTAAGCCAATCGGCATAGCGTGACACGCGCACAAAGACATCGGGATAACGTGAGCCGCAGGCACCCACCACGAAGTTGGTTACGCCTAGCAGCTTGCCATTGCTCACAGCGGCACCTCCTCCATCGCCGTAACAGGTGCCCTCCTTGAGCGCATGAGCCAGACAGAAGCTCTTCTCATCCTGCTCAGTGTACGCATCCTTGCAAACTTCGCTGTCGGCCAGCTTCAGCTGCAGCACGCGTATCTTGTACGAGGTGGTGCCATCTTGCGTATGGCCCCAGCCGGCCACCCCAATAGTTGCCCCAACTTCAGGCAGGTCGTCCTCCCCACTCGCCAGCTCAATAGGCTGAATGCGTTCGGTCCAGGTAAGGGGCGTGCTAAGCGTGATCACTGCAAGGTTGTTCTGCAGATTAAAGTAGTTGGGGTGTGGCGTTATCTGGGAAACCCGAACAATGCTACCTCCGGCATACTGATTGGTGCTACCCACCCGCACCGATACACGGCTGGGGTCAATGCTACATGATAATGGAGAAAAGTGTTCAATATAGTGAGCTAAATTAGTTAGAATTGTGTCAATCGCCGCTTTCACTTCTAACTTGTCGAAGTTACAATCGAGCTGGTGCACTCTACCTCGACTTGTGAGAAGCGTTTTCGGCTTTTGCTCTGTACATGGTCTGTGGTGTCACCTACATTAGGCCGTTCCGATACACACAGTGTGCCGCCGTAAGCAGAGTCGTCGAGCCCACAATGCTGGCGCCGCACACATGCGCATTGTCCACGCGCAGAGAAGCAGAATAGGGTGTTTCTTCGGTGAGGCCTTCGTCTCCGCCTAAGATGAAGGTATCCGGCGGAATAATGCCTGCACGTCCCGACACTGTCATGTAGAGCAGGGCTCCAAGAGCCGGTACCAATAGCTTGTTGGCCATATCCAGGTGTTGGTTCGTTTTTAGTGCGCTGGTACTCTCCGATGTGCGTTCTGGTGGTGACTGGGTATGGTGGTGCGTCGTTTGTTTTCAACAGACTGAACTTGTTTTGCGCGTGTGGCAAAAATGCCGCCAATATATATGGGCCAATAAAAGTGGTCAATTGCCGAGTTAGCTGTATTGCTCTTATCGGACTCCCAAACTCGCTAATCTTATCGTGCTGATGGCGGGTGTTAGCTTGTATAGCAGCCAAATTGCTTGTTGTGCTTGCTTTTCTGATGACCAATTGCCAATTACTAGCTACAATTGCAGTGGAAGCGGACAAGGGCGCCATACATGGGAGGCGGGGATGTGCGATTACGGTGACTCAGACACACCAAGTACAGCTCATGAACAACCAATATCAATTTATAAGGGCAGTGGGCAATAGAGAAGGGGGATTTTCGTGGTCGGGAGCGTGGGAATCAGATGAGCCATAGGGGTGCAGAGCATCTGACTTAGTTACGAGTGTAAGAGCATTTTTTAATAAACTGTAAAATGCCGCGTAGTGTCATTTCCCTTCGACTAGTACCGACATAAGCACACCTACCTATTGCCACACCCATATTGAGCGTAACTTAGGAAAAGTTCATGACCCAACAACCGGTTTTTATATCTGTTCAAAATGGTTGAAATTCAAAAAAAAAAAGATACATGTATAACTTAAGGGAAAGGCTGAGAAAGAATTGTTTTAGAAAACCCTCAGTTTTTCTTAATTCGATGGAAAGCAGTAAATTTTTACGGGGTGTTATACAAGCTATACAAGGCTATATAGTATATTTTATTTTATCGACACCCCATCAAACTTTTTTGACCATCGCATGGCTAGAACCTGAATTATCGCACTACTTTGTGTGCCTCTGTACTATCGGTAAAAAAATAACTATGGAACAAAGAGCAAATACTAACTTCTGCTGAAACTCGGAAATACTTTGTCCCCGACGTTGCAATTGAAATATCAAATAACTTTATAGTGATAATTGATTATCTAGGGGAAGAGTGCACGAAAATTATTCGCCATTCAAGAATGGTCGTGATAACATGAATGACGACCAACTTATTGGCCAGTCAAAATTCATGATTACCTATGATGCAGTTGGAAAAGTTAGCGAATTAAAAAACAGATAAAATCTTCTATGAAATTAATAGAAATATTAATTAAATATCTCCAAATCAATGATTCATGGCATTTTAATCGAAGGTACATACATACAAGTATGTTCTTGCTCTGTCCCGCACAAGTCGACTGATAACCTACAATTCGTTTCCGGTTGATTTTTTGAACAATCATCGAATTTTGAACCATCAACAACCCATTCGAATACCCATTTCGGAAAATAACATTTTCCCATGGAATGGAAAGCGCTACTCTAGCGGACGTCGAAGCCATTTAAAACGCTCGTACTACCATTTCAAAATTTTGAACAATCATCGAATTTTGAACCATCAACAACTCCTCCTTATACCCATTTCGGAAAATAACATTTTCCCTATAGGACGTCGAAGCCATTTACCAGGCCCGTACTACCATTTCTCAATTGTCCACATATCCCACATACGAGTATATAGTATAGCTATCTTTGTACATTTAAATATCCATCTAGCTACTTGTATAAACGAGCGCACGGCTGCTGCCTGTGCGAAGGCTGTTCAATGATCATGATCATCCTGCTGCTCAGTCTCCTGTTGAACCTGCAAATTCTGGTAATACGCGTGATCTGAAACCCTCGAGCCAGTGTATGAAGCCTGCCCAAGACACTAGTTCGAAATGTTGATAATTGTTTTGTGAAAAATAAACTCAATTTGCCAAAATGTGAATTCCGTGTTCTTAATCTAAAAATGTCCTGTTTCCTTTGGAGAGTACCTTGTAGTAGATGCTAATAATCTTATATCCTCTGAAAAGTGTGTACTATATGAGGCTAGTATGACACAGGCAATAGGCAGCATTTCCGACTACATAAAGTATATACATACATATATCTTGATCAGCATGACGCGTAAAGTCGATCTAGCCATGTCCGTCCATCAATCAGCAACGAACGCCTGGACTTCGGAAGTCCACAATAATTAAATTTGTACGTAGCTGTTACATTTTTGGATCGACTGTAGTACATATTATAGTTTATGAAACCAATTATACAACATTTACACCCTTACTTGTAAATATCTGGGCATGCATATCTCTAGTACTCTAGTTCTCTGCGTACTCATGAGCAATATAACCAGGCGCCTCCTCATTGAATTCCAATAGTATTTTTATGAGCGCAAACTTTATAATCTTATTCATTTAGTCTTAAACACTTCAAAACGGTTAAGTTTTCCCCTACAGTCAAAGTGCAGAAGCAGTACACTTGTTATAAATATTGCATGAATCCGGTTTTATACAAACAAAATATAGTATAGATAAAAAAAAAATGGAAAAACATGTACGGCAGTATCTACTGCGTATTGTTATTTATCCAGTCCTTATAGTAGACAATGCGACTGGCCACATCGGGACTAGTGGTGCCGCAGTTACCGAAGTGGAAGCTAACCAGTCCCTGCAACGTTTTCTGGTCATCCACAACGGGCGCGCCGGCGTCACCGCGACAAACTCCTTGTCTCTCGCCGCTCTCTAGGCACAGAACGGACTCATATCCATAACCGGCAGCCAGCTCGCAATAGTGTGAGCTCAACGTTTGGAAAGTGCTCGACTGGAGGTAATACGCAGAGCCGCCACTTAGCAGCTCACCCCAGCCAGCTACATGCACGGGCGTTCCATTTGGTAGCTCTGCCTCACCCTCACCCTCGCCCTCTCCACCTTCCTCGCCGCTACCCTCCTCCTCCTCAGACTCGGGTAGTGCAACCTTGTTAACTTTCTCGTTGAAAGTGAGGGGTACGCTGAGTGTCAGGATTGCAATATCGTGCAAGAAGTTTCCATAGGATGGGTGAATGAGCACTTCCTTGACACTCACAATGCTTCCACCTGCATGTTGATTGATGCTTCCCACGCGTACATTGATTTGGTCGAGAGGTAATCTGCGGAAATACGGGAAGTAGTAATCGTATGGGCAGTGTATTATGTCTCGGGTTTTCAATAAGCATTGCAGTAATTAAGACGTACGGCGTAAGACCCGTCTGGGAAACACAATGCGCCGCCGTGAGCAGATATGTCTCTGATATGATGGTGGCCACGCAGGTGTGCACGTTTTTCACACGCAAGGAAGCCGCCCAGGGGAACTGCCCGCTGCTGGCATCCTCGCCCCCCAAAATCCGGCCATTTGGCAGACCCTGACTGGGGTGAAGCAGGCAGGCGATAAGCAGCAGCAGAACAAGAGGCGCACGTTCGTTTATCATGGTGCTCGATTTGAAACTGGCCCCGCAAAGTGGCATTGGCTATCGTTCCGCCGCCACCTATTCTTCATCTAATCTAGGTATTGTAGAAACTCCTTAACATGATTAGCAACTGCTTGTGTTGTAAGAAAGGCAGCCGCGATAAGCAACCGCCTTTGTGGAGCTGTTGGCGGGTCAGGGTGCAGGGCGCAGGGTTTAGTGCTTAGTACCCGATATACTCGTATAAAAAACGGAGGTTTCCCGCCACAAAATTTATGACCGATTATGGCAATTATGGGTCGCTACATTTTTCGATAAGATTGTCCAAAGCTCTGCTCATAAATTGTGTGAATTTACAAAATTTGGCCTATAAATCGCGTATGCGACTCAATCGGCATTTTAGTAAATTTCATTCATTCAGTGAACAATGCTCCTTTTAAGCACTCAAGTAATCGGCTCCATCTCTCTGCTGGTCCTTGCCGGCGCGGGCTTCGGCTTGGCTGCCTCAGGGCGCCTGCTTGGCGGCTCCGATGCAGATGTGGGTGCCTATCCCTACACCGTGTCTCTACAGCTGGCAGCCAGTGGAACCCATCGCTGTGGTGGAGTTATCATTAATAATCGCTTCGTGCTAACCGCTGCACATTGCGTGACAGTTGGTAGCGGGATTGAACCGTAGGTATACGTAGGTAGAGAAATACGAGTTCGTATATATACGAACGCTGCAACAATATTTCACGTACACCCATCATATCCCACAGCTACCCGGCACAACGATTTCAAGTACGGGCAGGCAGCATTCAGCGACTGGTCGGTGGTCAGGTGGTGTTTGTAAAACGTATCATTGTTCACGGCGAGTACAGAAACGGACTGAACAATCTGGCACTTCTAGAGCTACAGACGCCTCTGACATTCAATGCCAATACCCAGGCAATAGCGCTGGCCGATCAGGCGCCTGCAGATGGTAGTGTAATAGTTGTCACTGGATGGGGCGCTACCTATACGCAGGGGTCAACGCAGCAGCGTCTGAAGGGGAGCACTCTGCAGACCATCAGTGGTGCCGAATGTGAAAAGTATCTGTATCTGCTGCACGATGGGCTGCTCTGTGCGGTTCAGCACGCGGAAAACGGAGAGGAGCAGGGTCTATGTGCAGGCGATGCAGGCAGTCCCGCCGTTCTTGACAACAAGCTTGTTGGCATCGGCAGCTTCTATGTAGGTGCTTGCGGTACTAGCATGCCCGACGGATTTGTCAATATCTTCAACTATCGCGATTGGATTACTGCGAACTCCGCCTAGAAGGCGAGCTTACAAACCCAATACTTCCTTAATATACTTTGTTTTTTTTTTTTGTTTTGCTTAAAATGTTGTTGCCCTATATTGAGTATTTTGTTTTTTAAAAAAATCCCATTTTGGACAATAGTGTACAGAATTACAACGTCAGTTTCGGGGCTTCATCATTTAAATATACATGTATATGAGTCATATTTATTTAGCTTTAGAAAGCTAATGTGTTATAGCTTTAAAACATGCTTGATAGGGCTAACATATCAGATCGGGGTTGTAAGTGAAATCGAAGTAACTCGTTAGCTCCGCTACGAATTTTTATACTATGAACCCAAAGGGTAAAAGGGTATATTAGTTATGTGCAGGAGTGTACATGTAACACCGAGATGGAGGGGCGGCAGACCCAACTAAGCATATATATTCTTGATCAGAGTGACATAATGAGTCGATATAGACATGTCCGTCTGTCCGTCTGTCTGTCTGTATGAACGCAAGGATCTCAAAAAATATAAGAGCTAGAATAACTAAACTTCGTATGTAGATTCTCCTAAGCCCGAGAAACGGCAAGTTTGTTCATTTTTTCCGATACACCCCCCACTCCCCCTCCATTCGCGATTTTCTCCAACTCACCCAATTCTTGGAATTTTTAACTCAAAATTGTAGTCACATCCAGTTAGTGATTATGTGTCCGTATATTAAGTTTCATTATTATAGATCAATTAGAAAAAAAGGTATAGCCATAAATTCAATCTCTGCCCAAACTCTGCAGCTGTTGTTGGTGTTGATGATGATTGTTGATATAATTCTGTACTTTACGCATATGTTTCCACTTATGTATGTATTGAATGCATGCTCTGCCTGCAGCTCTGCCCGCAGCTGTTGTTGTTGTTGCTACTTTGGTTCAAATTTGTGCTGCATACATAGACACGACCATGTACATGAACATGTTTGCACTTTTGTATACAAGGTGCGTTCGCAAGTAAACAGGACTTTTTGAATCTAGCGCCCCCTGGTAGCGCTATCTATATGTCGACTGGTGCGTTAGAATCTGCTATCTTTATCGATTGTCCAGTGCGAATTTCATGACATTTTATCGATTGGAAGTGAAGTTATTGCGTTTTAAGTGTCAGTATGTTTGTGTTATCGGTGCGAGAATGAGCTTCGAACAGAGAGCCAACATTAAAATTTGTTTTAAAATTGGTAAAACTTTTACCGAAACGTTTCAATTGATGGTACAAGTTTATGGCGATGATTGCCTATCCCGTAGCAGAGTGCACGAGTGGTTTCAACGTTTTCAAAGAGGTCTTGAGGACATAAATGACGATCAACATGTGGGCCAATCAAAATTCGTGATCACAGAAAATTCCATCGAAACTGTGTGTGAATTCATCAAAAATCAGCCGAAATCATCATTTAAATTGATGGAAATGGAATTGAACATCTCCAAAACATCGATTTATCGCATTTTGACCGAACATTTGGGCTTACGAAAGGTGTGTGCACGGTTTGTTCCGCACAAATTGACTGACGACCAAAAATTGCTCAGAATCGATCGACGCTTGGGACCGATTATTTGACCAAAAATCACATTTTAACCATTAACCACTCGCCGTATTCACCTGATATGGCACCGTGCGACTTCTACCTTTTCGGAAAAATGCATTTGCCCATGAAAGGAAAGCGTTGTGCAGACGTAGAGGCCATTCAAAAGGCTTGCACCGGCCATACCGACCAACGAGCTAAAACACTCGTTCGACATGCTTTTGGATCGTGCAAAAAGCTGTATTGATGCAGAAGGAGACTATTTTGAATCAAATAAATTGATTTTGCCGAAAAAACCATTTGTTGTTTTTTTGAAAAAAAAAAGTCCTGTTTACTTTGGAACACACCTTGTATATGTATTTAATAATTTGTATTTAATTTAATTAAATAATTTTTCTTCTGTTTTTAAATGGGTTCGTGAACTGCTGCCCCGTACCTCAAATCCATATATATGGCTATGTAGAAATATTGATTTATATTAAATGAACTTATTGTGTAATGATAGTTTGGAGTTACGAGTTGTAAACGGATACAGACTGCAAATCATTTTATTCACTTTATCTAAAGTTTTGCTAATGTGCTCTGAAAAAAGAAGCTTTTTATCAAAATAAAATCGCAAAAAGCCAACGCAATTATCCCAATTTATATTTGTTGTACAAGTATTTAACTCATACTTTGATTCGAAAACATTTAATGACAACCTGCATGAAAAAATAAATCTACGTACTCGTATGTGCATACAAACATATGTTTATTTATGTGTCGTTGACAACTTATACCGCGTTTAATTCTAGAAACTACTACAAATGTATGTATGTATATAAAATGGTTTGAATGTTAAATCTGCACTTTTCCACCAATTTGTTTCATTGGGGGTTCATTAGGTTTTCATTGGAGCGTGAATTATTGAGGTTTCCCATAAAAAAAATTGGAACGCGAAAAGCTACGTTTTTATTTGCAATCAATGCACAGCCTTAATGGTAAGCGCTAAGAAGCTTTTATTTACTCTTCGGACCTGGGATATCTTTCCGTCTGCCTGACACCTGAAGTGTGTATCAGTCAGAAGTTGCTGCATTAATGGAGGCCACGCGACACTTATCCCCAAACACACTGGGAAGCAGAGCGCTAGTTTTCTTCTCTGACAGTAAAGGGGCACTCAAAGCGCTTGACTCAAATCTGGATAACTCCAGGGTGTTCACAGACTGCCGCAGATCTCTGAATGAGATGGCTCAGCATGTTAGTGTCAGCCTCATATGGGTTTTATGGATACCGGTCTCGAAGCCCGTATAGGCTTCTAAAATTAGATAAGTCTGTAGTCTCCATGGTAGTGGGGACGCTTACAGGTCACTGCCTAGTTGGTAGGCATACTGCTGGTCGGGGCATACCTTTTAATGACTTCTGTAGAAGCCGTAGAGATGAGGAGCAGCATGAGAGCGTCGAACACTTTCCCTGCCACTTCCCTGCGCCCAGCAGGCGTAGATTTTTAGCCCAAGGGGAACACTTCCTAAACGATCTCTTGGACCTATCAGGGATCGAGATCATGGAAATTGTCAAATTTATGAATAGCACCAGATGGCTGAAGAGTTTTGGTGTGTGAGATCATATGGCATCACAATGGGCCTATCTGACCTAAGTAGGAGGTGTATACCAGGGCCCCCGCCATTCTAACCTAACCTAACCTAACCTTCCTTTTATGGTGTAGGTGAGCATTAAGAAGCAGTTTTGGAATATTAGAATTCCGATTAGCTTTACGCTGTTATTACTCTATGTGTTATTTACTATATGAAAGAATACAAGATAATCTGATAATTATCACTAGCATTCATTCATAAATATTTGTATATACATTTGTATGTACGTATGAACATACATAGCATATGTTGTACTTAGTTTTCCGTACGTACCAAAGTAATTTGCTATATGATAGTTTCCGGAAAAACCTATCTCGAAAGAAGTGGGAAAGCTAAGTGGGAAAGCTAAAGTGTGTCTATGTGTGGCTTTGTGAACATGTGTATGTATATGATGATGAAACACTTGACAGGTGGACACGTATTAACTAATTGAAGGAATTTGCCAAATTTGAGTTAAAAATTGCAAGAGTTACGGCAGCCTTGGAAAATCACTAATAGCGGGGGAGTGGGGGGAGGGAGGAACATTTTGAAATACTGTTCTCCTGCGTACTCATAAAGGGACCACAGTTTTGTGTCTCTTACATTCTCCGAGAAGTATGTGATTATACGAAAGGAGTTACGGAAGATCTCTCATTGCGGAAAAGTGGGGATGTATCAAAAAAAATAAAACAAACTCCTACTGCGTACACATAGAAGGAGTCTGTGTAGCTTGGCGTCTCTAGGTTTTATAGTTTTTGGGATCCTGGTGTTCATACGGACAGATAGACGGACGGACAGACAGACAGAGCTAGATCGACTCGTCAAGAGTATACTTGTATATACTTTGTGGGGTCTGCCACGCCTCTTTCTGCCTCTTAAGCTTTTCATTTTGCACACAAACCTAATATACTCTGGCATCTTTTAAGTACAAGATATGTTAATACATACATATGTACTATATGCATATACAAGTACTATTCATATTCGACTTTCTCTACTCGTGCTTCTTTTTTTGAAAAATGTTCGGTTCATAGTTACTGCACCGCGGTTAACTAATCGAGTGTAACTTTTGTGTCAACTAATCTGCTTAAAAAGGTATATTCAGATCTGAGATAAATTAAAAGAACGCAATAAATTTCGTTGCTGCAAGCTCTGAACGTTTTATTCCATATTTTCAATGATCCACTCGTAATTGGCTGCTATGCTGATGAAGCGATCGGGCATCATGCTGCCACACTCGCCCAGCGTATCGGCTGCCAGGCCCACCAACTGCTGACCATATACGGCGGGACCGCCAAAGTCGCCGCGGCAAATGCCGTTCTTGCGCGCATGTCCCAGGCAGAGCACCTGCTCATTGAGGGGCAACAAGTCGCCCTCGTCGCTCACGACGCGGCAGTCTTGCACCGGCAGCACGGTCTCATCGTTCAACTGCAACGTGCGGTACATATTCTCATCAGTGTCCTTCTGACGACCCCAGCCGGAAACTTCAATGGTCACGCCCTCCGGTGGATTCTGACGGGCTAAAGGCACGGCATTTACATACTCGTTGAAGACCATGGGCTCACGAAGTCGCAATAGCGCCACTCCGATTTCCAGTTCAATATAGTTGGGATTCACAAGAATTTCCTCGACAGTAATTCGCTGGCCGCCAGTGTAAAGGTCCACAGTTCCCGCTGCTACCTGGAACAGCTGTGGTGGCCAACTGGGAAGAAATAAAACGAAAGTTAGTTCCGGTTCGGTTTTCTATAAATATACTTTTGCTATGATTTAAATCGTAAGCTGTTGCTTGCAGCTCTTTTAACATTCAACTTAGATATTTATTTAAGATATTCCCAGGTTGCAATAAAGCTATTTATTCATTTTTTCTGACTTCAAAAAAGGAGGTTACTAATTCGTCTGTATTTTTTGTTTTTTATGTTTGTTACCTCAGCGCATTCGAGTGGGTGAACTGATTTTGATGATTCTTTTTCCATTTGAAAGCTGGTGCTTCCCGTTTGGTCCAGTTCTGAGAATCACATTCATGACAAAACTACCTTAAACATACCTCATTTAGCCGAAATAGCTGAAAATTGTATTCCTAAAAAGGATGTTGTTACTTCAGAATCAGCCTCGAAACAATAAGTCACTTTAAAACTTTGACAAAAAAAAGCATTGACTGCACTAGATCTGAAGTGAATACCCAGCCTTATTCCCGGACATGTCTATACCGATTCGTATTGCCATTCTGATTATAAATATATAGTATGTACTCGTAATTTGCACTTCCGATAGCGCAGAGGATGGGATAGGAATGAGTCAACTAAAAGGACTGCACAGTCCGCAAACTACTTGTAGTCAACTACCGAATTCGGTTGTGAAATCGAACAAGTGTTTTATACTAATAGTTTTTTGATTTTGATTTTAGAGGGGGGTCTTTCAACATACTTTCAACTTTTGTATAGCAAAAGTATGTATGTAAACACCTAGTAGAGTCCCTAGGTTATGGGCCAGCGAAAGTACTTACGGTTTGTCACTGCCCTTTGAGCAAACACAACCTAAGGCAGTCAGGGCATATCGCTCGGCTATAATAACTGCCCCACAATTGTAGGACCCTCCAATGGACAGCGATGCCTGGTAGGGGAACTGGCCCAACACGGCATCGTCACCACCCACAATACGGGCCTGGGGTGCTCCCTGGCACGTATTAAAAAGCAGAGTAAATAACAATGCGAGACAAGCAGAGAATCTCATGTTTGTGAAGTCAAAACTGACCAACGGGGCGGCAAAGTATGTGCTTTTATAGTCGGTGTCTCTTCATTATGTTTTTAGGCTCTACCCATTCAAACTTTTGTATCTTATCGCAAGACCTATGGACAGCATGCAGAGTACTTGTGGCTATGTGTTAATATTATCATATAGGTGATAAGGCAGAGATAACTGCGTAAGCTTTGATTTCGGCTATCTCTCTATTTGCACACTATTGGCAGGCCCACAGTGTTTTTGATTCCAAGAACATTCGGCCCTACTTCAATCAAAATAAATCAATCGCCTTCGATTGAATCGCGCGTTTCCGCATGATATATGTACGTGTATGGATGACCAGGCCCCATCACGCCATCCTGACTCTTCACCTCTGTGATGAGCTGCGAGTGTCAAGTGTGGACGAACGCTTGAATGTTTCGCACATGCGATGCAGTTCAGTGCTCAGGCAGCGCAAATTACCAGAAAACAACAATTTCACTTACCTGCCCGGCCAATGCACTCGCGCGAAATTCAAGCACGTAGCCACCGTAGCCACCGTAGCCACCGCAGCCACCACAACCACCGCAGCCATCAAAGCCATCACAGAGCGCAGAGAGCAGAGACAGTGCATATTTGGTCAGCCAAACAACAGGTTGATACTGGCGTCCGTCCCTCCCAGTCCCGCATAACCACATCAATCTATACAAAGCCATTGGCCAGCTCACTTATAACTTGTGTGCAGCGCAACGTTTTTGATTATTTGCAGGCTTGAAGTCACGGGCAACAGTTGTCGTCGTTGTCCCCAGAAATGATCTTGCGAAAGACACTCAGCAGCTTGGTGCTGATGCTCCTCTATGGCTGTCATTTGCATATGGCCAAGACGGTAATGAATGGTGGAGATCTGGAGGCGGCCTTACCGGAGCCCCGTGCATATATACCTGACTCTCAGAATCTGGACTTTGTCTATCACGACCACGAGGAACTAACGCGTTTTCTGAGGTAGGCGAGATAGCTACTACGCACACATTGCAATACTTACATATATATATATATATATATAAAAAAAAACTCTTCCAGAGCTACCAGCGCACGGTATCCTAACCTCACGGCTCTCTATTCCATTGGCAAGTCCACCCAAGGACGCGATCTGTGGGTAATGGTGGTCAGCTCATCGCCTTATGAGCACATGGTCGGGAAGCCAGATGTCAAGTATGTGGGCAACATCCATGGCAATGAGCCAGTAGGTCGCGAAATGCTGCTGCATCTCATACAGTACTTTGTGAGCAGCTACACCACAGATCAGTATGTCAAGTGGCTCCTGGACAATACACGCATACACATATTGCCGACAATGAATCCGGACGGCTATGCTGTGTCCAAAGAGGGCACCTGCGACGGTGGACAGGGCAGGTGGATAGCGCTGATTACTGTTCTGACCATTGCCATTTTCATTCCATTATTCTTTAGATACAATGCACGTGGCTTTGACTTGAATCGCAACTTTCCGGACTATTTTAAGCAAAATAATAAGCGCGGCCAGCCAGAAACGGATGCGGTCAAAGACTGGATATCGAAGATACAGTTCGTATTGAGCGGAAGTTTGCATGGCGGGGCCTTGGTTGCCAGCTATCCTTATGATAACACGCCAAACTCTAGTAAGTAGTCTCAAAAGTGCACTTTCCACTTTCCACCTCCCACCATCCTCATAGCCTTCCTCTTTCCGGGTTGTCTTTGCGATTTTATGAGAGTGTCCAAATCCATGAGATTTGCCAAGGTGTATTCATTTCGGTATTAGACATGCACATACATGCATGTTGCACCATGGTAGATCCCATGTAGTAGATATAAAGAGGTCCGAAGTCCGTATGTGTGTTTCAATCCCTACCATTTCCACAGTTAGAAAACTGAAACTTTGACGGGGTTTTCTCATTAGTACAGGGCTATTAAAAGGATAACGTTCGTACCTAACGATGACGCAAGATATAGCCATGGAAACGTGTTTAGGTCGAATACATTTTAGTGATCATAATTATGTTGAAGTGTGGCAGCTTGAAATACCCATGGAGATTTGGATTTGCTCTCATTTAATCATTTTCTGTTTTAGAGATCGTTCGCTCTTCGCCTCATTGCACGCACATTAATATGTGTGCCCAATTATATAGTTATCTCTTTTCCAATGCTTTCTGTTTGAACCTTGCTCCTCGCATTCGCACCAATATGGCTGCTTAAAGGAATCTGCCGTTCGTCCGCCTTGTGCGCGAGTGAGTAGCGTCTGTTCTGGTGCCCCAGATGTATCTCTATATATATCATAGGTGCATAGAATTCAAGCTTATATTAATCGTATTCCACTTCGTCTCCCTCTTTCGTGCTATTCACCTTTGCACCACATGTCCCCTGGGCACAGTGTTTCAGACCTACTCAGCCGCCCCATCACTGACGCCGGACGATGATGTTTTCAAACATCTCTCGTTGGTCTATGCTCGCAATCATGCCAAAATGTCACGAGGCGTGGCCTGTAAGTCGGCAACGCCCGCATTCGAGAATGGCATCACCAATGGAGCTGCGTGGTATCCACTGACGGGCGGCATGCAGGACTACAACTATGTGTGGTACGGTTGCATGGAGATTACGCTTGAAATTTCCTGTTGCAAATACCCACCGGCCTATGAGCTTAAAAAGTACTGGGAGGACAACCAATTGGTAAGTACAATATTGTACCCGCTCATCCAAATTTATTTCCATCATCTTTGAATATCTCGTCCCTAGTCCCTTATTAAATTTTTGGCTGAAGCACATCGGGGAGTGCAAGGTTTTGTGTTTGATCCAGCGGGCATGCCCATAGAGCGTGCCTCGCTGAAGGTGAAGGGTCGCGATGTGGGCTTCCAGACAACCAAATATGGAGAATTCTGGCGCATCTTACTCCCTGGATATTACAAAGTTGAGGTGAGTTGCATTTTAAAATACAGGAATACAGCCCGACCCTAACCGAGTTCAATACAGGTTTTTGCCGAAGGCTATGCGCCGCGCGAGGTAGAGTTTGTCATTGTCGAACAGCATCCAACGCTGCTCAATGTGACGCTACAACCATCGAAGGTAGGTCGAAAGCCCTTTCTCAGCTACGGTGTAGGTGTTACTAATCTTTGTTCTTTCGCCTCTATACTGTATTATGTAATTAAAACGCCAGTACTTTGCCGCTACCGTTACCTCCAAATCCACCTCCTCTCATACTATCAGCAGCACAACGCCACGTGGGCCGCGCGGTCAGGTCAACGATAATGTACAGTTCCCCACTAATTAGAGACACAGTGACCAATGTAAATACATGTACATGTTTATTTAAAGTACTAAACTGATGTACCAATAATCTAAACTAAATCTAAACTAATAGAGCCCAGCAAAAGTTTGAATGCAATCAATTTGAATGAAGACTTATCCAAATAATATTCAAAAAATCAATTAAAGTTAGCTAAATCAATTATTTAAAAATACAAGTAGGCTCGGAGTGAAAATATGGTATATACATGATAAAGTTTTATCGCCATGCTCAAAGAATTTGCAATGTCTGGTACCAAAACCAGACCAGTTGGTGAACCAACTTCACGAAACCCAGACTAGATCAACTTCTCTCATGCTTGTCAATAACACATTTATACTTTATGGGGTCGAAGATGCCGCCTTCTGCCCGTAACATATGTATATTTTCACAAACCATAATATCCATTTTTACCTGAAAAGGTAAAGTTATATTCCAATGAATAGGAACGAAATTCAAATTAATTAAAATATTTGTATAGGAATTTCAATATATAGTTTCTTTAGGCTGTTTTCTTTGATGCTTACTCCAAAGTTAGTGCATTGGCTTTTCACTTAAAACAATGCTCTTTTAGACTAGACCCTAACAATAAGTGTTGCTTTTGTTGTTGTTAATTCGCAGTATACATGTATGTATGTATATTATAATGTACAAAATGAATAACAGAAAACAGAATTGTAAAAGAAGTTCCAAATTATACAAAATGGTAAATGGACAATAAAAGTTATTAAAATCTAGTTTACATATAGAATTCACGCAATTTTTCCTTAATATTTCCATTTTATCCACAAATCAAATCACAGCGCATTGAAGGCATCGGTGCTGGGGGACCTTCCTACTATCGGCCGATACCGGCGCCACAGCATTATCGCCCGGTCCCGCCCTACGTTGCAAGTGCGTCAAACGACAATGGAATCTTCTCAACTATCAGCAATGGGCTGAACAGCTTGTACTCGAATATTTTCGGCTGAGCAACAGAGTTCGAGCTTAAGTTATTATTTGTAATAGATATTATTAAGACTTTTTTGTGTGTAGTACCTAGAATTAGTTTTGGCCAACCTATTTATTAATACACATTAAATGCCCATAACTATAATTTACGATGTTCGTTCATGTTGCGAATTCCATCACAGCACTCTACTTGTAGACTGGCAATGCCTGCAGAAATAGAAAAATAGAAGAAGAATAATACTACTAGTACTACTTCAATTTTAGATGAAGCTTTGCGTTGAACGTCGTTTCGATCTATGTACATATATAAGACGGGAAGAAAAAGGGAGAGAAAAAACTGGAAAACAAATTCTTTTAACTATCTTCTTTTTTTTTGGTGCGACAACTAAATTCATTTTGGTATACACTTTCCCCCCATTTTTCTCATTAAGCGAACCATTTCACTCTTCATTCGACTCCACATTTAATAATTTAGCAGAGCGCAGAAAGTACAGTATACTCTTGAAAACCCGACAGTTTTGAGCCGCGAAATGTTCAATCTCACGAGCAAAGATCTATATGGCGTATCCTATGAAGACGACAGGCCGCACGTGCCGCATCTTGGGGGAAACTTTGAGTTTCGGGTAAGTTTTTTAACGTACTGCAGAGAGTGGATGGTGCGGGAGTGAATGAGCAATGCATTCGACAGTTCTCCGCACGAGGAAACATCTCACGCGCCATCGAGAAGTACAAAGAGCAAAGAGGAGCAGAGCTGGCCGAAATGAGGGGAAAGCAGTCCAAAGGCAGCATGCCGCGCTTCTGCAAAATGCGCGACAATGGTCATGATGTCACATGCAAGGTGACCTCGAGCGATCGTGATGTCGAGACACAGGTGTCCCGGCTGAGCTGGACACTAATGGATTTAGACGACTTAAGTTCACAGGAATCTTACGGATTAGAAGAGGCAACTGGCACTGGAATTGAGGAATCATGCAACAAAGCAATGCATGAACTAGGGGCCACCGATGCTGATAGCTCCAATTGTAACACAACTAACATCAGCATTGGGCTCAACACAAACCAAGGGGATCGTCTTTGTGGCGGGGCAAGCCCCAAGCGGCAATTCAGACAGAAAAAGTCTCGTGCATGTCACAAGTACAGTCATGTACAATCGCACTCAGTGCTGCCTTATGAGCGCGTTGAGGCGCTGCACCGTGAGGTGTGCAAAGAACTGGAGGACATGGGTCAAGGTCCCCAGTCAATGTCGATAGAGATGCCAGTCTTCAGCAAGCCTAAGTCACCAAACAAAAAAAAGCTACGCCAGATTCCAAATAAATACCGCCCAGTGACTATATCACCACCAAGAGTGCAATTGCCCGCACTTATTAAAACGCCGGAGCGCCTTAAAGGAGGCACCCGTAAACTGAAATCTTGCAAATCCAATAAGCAGGGAGACGCTGACAATTTGAAACATATGTCTTACGAAGAATATCCTCAGCCGGAGGCAAAATGGGCAGAGATTATGCATCCCTCAGTCATGTCGCAAGCCATTCAAGTAAATGTTTGTAAGGCACAGAACCCCACACCCAGGGCTGCTTATGAGTTCATGGAGTGCCATGGTAGCGTCGAGCCGGAACCTATTGCACCATTCTTTCTGGAGGACAGCGATCTGGAGCATGAGTATACACAGCGTCCGGGCTATCTCCGTTGCTGTGGACCACGCCCCATGAAGCTAGATAGCGAACCTGAACAAGAAGACAATATTGGTGCTTGCTTTGTGGAGCTAGAGGTAAGTGAGAGGCGAACGTTGAATGAAGCTAAAATTGTTTAAACTGGTTAGTATAAAAATATGTGAAGTGTGGGGATCAGCCGCCAAGAGCGTTTTGAATGACGAAAGAGGCAACTTAAATTCGATAATCTTTTTAGAATGGCGAAGTTCTCCTTAGAATCAAATGGGGGTGCAGCCCCCCTCATTGCTCGTAGCCACCCACCAAATTTATAACTTTTAATTGGTCACATCCATTACACCGAATTGCTTTTCGCCTTTTTCTAGATGAACGCCTGCGTTTCGGAAACAGCCGAGCGCACAGTAACCGAATTTGAAATGTACTCTCCCAGTCAAGGGACTAGGGGCTACAAGAGTATAGCTTATTTTTTGTTATTTCACCCCATTTTCCCCCGCTACACACTTTTGTAAATACTGCCCTTGATTCGCCACCTTTACATCAAATTTCAAAAAAGTTATTAGCGAAACCATGCTACTCCAGTACAAGCCCACAAACTGCCTCTGCCATTTGCGTATAAAACTCAGCGCCGGAAGTGTGTTTGGCTACAGGGTATTAGCTAACATATTAGCTACATATAGGTAACATACATATAACGCTTCCCTTTTCTACCACTTCAGCATAAACCCCATCGTCTGAGCCTTCTACGCAGCATGCAACCTATGCGCTATTCATCGCGATTCGAAGAGCGAGTCCGTTGCCATCTGAAGCAGCTGCCCCAGTTGCACGCGACGTTTGCTTCACAGGAATCGTTATCTAATCAAGCGCTAAAGCCGCAAAAGGAGCATCAATTGGGTGAAAAAAATGCAGCTTTCAGCAGCGACGAGGACAATATGTACATCCCTAAGCTACAGACCCCGGCACCGCCTTCTCCAACGCCGACTACGCGTAACTTGAAGTCAACCAAAAACAAGGCCAAGGCCAGTAAAGGGCGGAAGACAGATAGGTCTTCAACACCTGCGTGGAACAGCAACAAGCCCAAACCACAAAGAACACAGCTCCATGTGGTTATACCTTCGTATAGGCCCCAACATGTTGATCGTAAAGTAGCCAAGAGCAAAGCCAGTGGTGATGCACCAGAAGGCAGCGTTAACGTCGGCTTGGTCCGGCAGCCAGGTGGACGAGAAAAATGCAGCGAACCTCCATCACTTCCACAGGAATCGCCCCCACCATCGCCGTTGAGGCGTCGCAAGCCACGCAATCTTTACTGCACCAGATCCTTAGAGGACCTTAAATACGAAAAAATCTGTATTTATCATAAAATGTCGACTATGCAGGAGCGCATCATTGCCGCCCTGGACCGCCTGCAGAACAGTCTGATCCAATTGGCACAGCCAGAGTACACTACTCATGAGAGAGCGCGTCGCCAGCGAAACGCTTTCGAGTTCTGCGTGCGCTTTTCCCGTAACTTTCTGTATCCACTTAAAGGCATGATCGATGATGTGCGGTATATGTCCGATTCTGCCTTCACCAGCGCAAATTCCAATGACGCCTGTCAGCGCGTGCTCAATATTTACAACCTGATGCATCAGTCCATTATGACCTATATGCGCCAACTGCGTTTCTTTTTGCTGGACAAGGTGCCGCAGAAGCTAAGTGCTCTGATCGAAATGCTCTACGCGTTAACGAATGTTTGCCTAACCAAAAACTTGTTTGATCGCCAAGATGTGATCGTTGACTGTCTTCTGCAACGCTGCACCAAGTTCCTCACATTCATTGAGGACATGCAAGAAGAGCGGTTCCAGCTGGCTAGAGAAGTCTATCAACGCATACAGGCAGAAAAGCATTCTAAGCAACCCCATGACCATCAGCAGAAATCTCACAGTCACAATCGCTATGATCTGAAGATGTGCTTCAATGACTTGCAGCTTTACGAGCCGCGTTTGGTGCGGAAGGAAAAACCTGTCACCAAAGAAAGGAGCGGCACCAAAGATAGGAGTGCCACCAAGAAGAGCACCACCATTACAAAGGGGCAGGGCGTCGTCAGAGAACGCTTGCGTCGACTTCAAATTCGACGCCCCGTTCTGCCTGGCATATGCTTGGAGAAGGCCTCGGATGTCGAGCTGCCGAGGTCACCGACAGTTATCAAAACACACATTGAATGCGTGGAATGTCGAGATGATCAAAGCAGCGAGCTGAGCGAACAGAGTCCGCTTTTGTCGCCAACTCCCAATGTGTTCCCGACTCCCTATCAACATGACTGCCACCAAGCTCTAGCTAATACACTTAGACGTACAGTGGCCCCAAGTCCCTCCCCTCGTTGCTACAATGGAACCATTAGCGATCCCAACCAATGCATCTCTAGGCTTGTTGCAAATTTAAATCTACCAAATGGGAAAGAGAACGTGGTTAATCAGGCTCTTTTTGAGGCACTACAGCAGGTCACTCAGTCCCAAGTTGTGCAGGTGATTGAGCCCATTGTGAGATCTCTGGGCGGAATATTACAGCATAATGTGAGTGAATCTGACCATATTTTCTAATCAATAAATGTTTCTAATCCCAGAAAAAAGATGACAGTTCGTCAACAAACAATTCGCAATCAGACAGCTCCGACTAGTCTAGTCTAGTCACAACAATCCAAGCGAATTTCGAGTTATGCTTGTATGTATATCCCTCTGAATGGGAAATAGTTTCGGGCTGCGCTTTTCTACCTTCTCTAACCCAACTATTTCTAACGTTTCCTTTCCAAAAAAAATACTCCTTAATATTAAAAATTTTTGGATTAGAAAACTAGGATTCTTCTTTCGAACACGCTCCTCTCTCTCTTAAATGGAAAAAAGTTTTACCAAATTGTATTTAAAATTATAAAGTTGTACATTACTTAGGCATACAAATTTTTCGATATTTAATACTGGACTTGTAATTTTTGACAAATATTGATAATGGAATAAAGAAGGTATAGAAAGAAATGCAATTAATTTTTATTTCATTGGCGAAAAACGGAACTCTCCTTGGCGCTGCCTGCTGGGCAATAGACATTGTATTTGCCTCGGACGAAACGGGCAGTACCTAGTGTCACCATCATTCACCTAGCGTCACTCGTAATTTGGGTATCGTGCACTCTGATGGTCAAGGCCATGGCTAGAGGTGTGTTAGAAGCGTGGTGGCACGCATAAGACGCTAGAGGTGATTTCCCTAATATAAACACAGGGGCTGGAATGTAGGCGTGTCACCAGCGGTCACACAGCTACGGAGCTTGGGGTGGCTGAAGGCTTTAAGATGGAGAAAGGTACTAGATGGTAACACACAACTTGGATAAAAGCAGCTCAGGAGTGGGAAACATTGCCGACTGCAAAAACGCGCATACAATGTGTTATGAAAACGAATTCCTTACTATTTTGAAATAAAATAAGTTGTCAGTTTTTTCATTGTTAAAAATTAAGTTGGCAGTCCCTCGTGGTACGATCGGGGCAGTTCGTTCAGTACCGCCATGAAGGCAGGCATAATATCCCTACATTTTTTGAAAAGTTAAATACAGTTTTATTTTTTCAACATTGTTTTTTTGATTTGATTGTGTTCATTAATGACGTCCTGCTTGGAAGTGGGAAAAAATCTACTGACAACGAATCTCCTGCCAACTACTGGATCTTGCTAGCTTTTGCTCTCGTTCGATCCGGATAAATAAATATATGTTTGTTACAACAGGACACGATAACGTCATCCGGGAGGCAACACAATGTTTACAATGTGTACCAACGGATCAATAAACCGTTCTCCCAACTGATCCTCAACACCCGCCAATAATAATTATTATTTACTGAGACTACCGGCCTAACCTAACCTATTTCATTTATTTTCCTAATATCCAGGCAACACGAGCTGCGGATTTGTCCACGGTCAAGAAATCCCGCTTGTAAAAGGTTCTTTTGTAAAAGCACTTTTTTCAACGAATATAATATAAACTCACCGTTCTTAATATCAGCATGTCTGGAACCGAAAAAGCCCAAAAATAACACAAAAGTGTGCGATCCATGTTTTAGCATTTAGGAGGTACAGATGTATGTACTTTTGTTCTTATTCAATATTTGAAATATTTTATTGTAATAATTCAGCTTTAAAGTTATTCATAGAAGTACATGCATTTTAAAAAGAGAGAGGTATGTATGTATAAGGCGTGCGCGTGCGATACACACGTATTCTTACAAAGTGCATATAAATTAAATACATTTACATTCATATGTATAGTATATTTAAAATTATATTAACATACACAGGCACAATGGCATATCACCGAATGTTGCATTGCGATGGGTCGGATTGTGCACCAGCGGACAGGTGTTCCCACTGTGGATGCCTCTTCAGAGTTGGCAAATATCCGAAATATTTTCACAGCCCGTCACGACTGCACAGCCACTGGTCTGTCTGTATGTGCTTGTAAATATAATGCAGCATTTCGAAATACAAATATCGCTATTTTTGATCGGCGTGGAGGACTGGAGATATGCATTGGGGGACATGCGGGGTTCATCCATTCGCCATTTACTTTCTTCTCTGTGCTGGACTTTTGTGTTGTGTTTCGATTTTCGAGATTTTTCCACCATCTTGGTTAACAATTGCAATACTACAAATACCATAATAATATAGAATATCATATGTATAATAAGTATATAGCTTATTGCGTGTATATTGAATGTATGTGTTTGTGTGTATGTGTCGAGCAACCTCAGTCTGCTTAACCCGAGCAGGCTGTGCACAGTGGCTTGTTATCCTCTACGGCAAAGGTGCTTGCAGTTATAGGACTCGCACATTTCTGGAAAACACAATAAATAGATACATCAATGAAATGATAATCAGTAATAACTTATCCTTAATACACATAGTTTCAGTCAGAACCATTTTCTAAACTTGTTATAACAAGACGAATGGAACGTTCAAGTTAATTAATAAGAACCTTCCACCAACTTCAAAAAGTGTTTGCTTATTCTACATGTTCTTGATCAGGGCAACAAGCTGAGTCGATATAGCCGTGTCCGCCTGTCTGTCTGTCCGTCCGTCTGTATGAACGCAAGGATCTCAGAAAGTATAAGAGCTAGAAAAACCAAATTTGGTATCTAGATTCTCTTGATTTTTCTTGATTTTTATTTCAGAATAACTCTCGTATTGACTTTTTCAATATTCCGTGTTTTTTGGGGATCCACCGTCCTGTATGTATTAGTGGTTTCCAATAAGTATCAACATTCTTATATATGTACATATATGTATATCGATTATTCGAGCTTTTATACTACTTCCCGAGAAACAGATAGATATGGTTATTTTTACTTGTTGCTTTATACTTAAGACTACATACAAATGGCTGGGTGTACCGCGCTTCCAACTTCTATATATATACACTAAACTAGTATACTATACGCCCTTTGAGTACACGGCGTAAAAGTTAATCACAACTTAGCGTATTGTGAAAAAATGAAATCATTTTAATGCAAGCCTTTGAAATATTTACGACGATAAAGGCGAATATGCTACAGAATTGCGCCAATACTGCCTACAGTTCCAAAGGCACTTCAACGGAATATTGGACACATACTATATGAACAAATAACTCTCTATTATTATCTTAAATGTCATCCAAATCGCTTGATTTTGAGAAATGTGATTAACGAAACAATTTCATTCGATTACTTTGCTCTTCTTCTCCTTCTTTTTGCTTATAGGTGCGTAAGTTGTTTGGATATTGGGTAGTATTCTCACTTGTTTTTGATTGATGACTGTAAATTCATTGGTACACATAATTGTAATTACAACTGTTTTAAGTCGCCCGAAGTGCATTTTATAATTGTTCTTAAATATTCTCAATTACTTGTTCTTTTAAATGTATATATAATTTCTTTAACCAGTATTCTGCTACCAATATGGCAGCTTAAGCTAGTTGAAAAGCAATTTTTTTATCTGTCTATTATATTTACATATATACAATTTATTAAACTAGTTTTCTACTACCAATATGGCAGCTTAAGCTAGTTGAGAGTTAGGGAATACAAAAGTTGTCTATAGTAAGCATCTATAGGACGCACTTACATCTATGTATATACAATATTTACAATGATTTACATGATGAATGAAATTATATTTTATGATATATATTATATATTTTATACAAGGGATCTTGTGGGGAGATCCTTTGGATCCTTCTTCAGAAAAGCAATTATAGTACTTCAGATAAAATGAGAAACACATATGCTTGTGTTTCGGATTTACTATTGATGCCTACTTTTAGGGGGAAAATATGAAATATCCAAAAAGAGGAATCCAATTGAATAGTATTTAATTGGCCTTCGAGTGCAATATGCCAGCTAAAACTGAAGATCTGCCAAATTAGCGACAGCACCTTTTTGTATATGCTACACATAAAAACTATACCTGATGTAATCCACTAAAGTATGAAATTACTAGGTAAATGTTTCAGAATTGGCAAGATTCCTGTTTCAACACTTTGCCATTGATCGCAATCGAAAAAATGGAACTAAACAAGTATTCCTCTCACCTTGCATTTGAAGCAGTCGCGATGCCACTTGGCATTCAGCGCCACAATAGCATTCTCCGTGATAGGCTGAGCACAGCCAGCGCAGCGGGCGGCAAAGAGCTGCTCGAAGTCGATGCGACAATAGGGCCGGCCATCGCGCTCGTAGAAGGAGGTGCCTACCAGTGGTTTCTTGCAAGGACCCCCGCAGACGAAGCAGTTCTCGTGCCACGACTGCTCCATGGCTTTGATCGTGCGCTGTGGGCAGAGGAAGAGGAAGAGGTAGCAGTATAAGTATATGTAGCATACTTTTAAGAGCTAATGAAAATTCAATTGACGTTCGATTCGCTTAGGATAGACTCAAGTATCCATATCGATGTTTAACCCATACGAGTGGGTGTGTTAGAGGTGACCTTGTGCCACACTGCATACAAATGTTGACAACAGCACACATCGCCGGTTGATCAACAATAACGACGACAACTCATCAACATTAATGGCAGCGATCATCATATATTTTGTGCCTATTACTACGATGCTGTTGATGAACACATTGCCTGCTATTTGTTGTTGGATTGGCTTGACTTTAATTTCTACAGCAAGCCAAATACTTGTAGCACGCCCACTCGTTAGCCTCGCCTAAGTTTCCCGACTGCTTGGTTCTGGTTTTCTCAGATAACATCTTTCACACATGGTGCACACTTACGATATTTACTTTTTACGCGATAGAGGCATTTAGTGTGTACTACACAATAGCACAGACGCTCATACAAATGTACGTACTCGTACACATGTACATACATACATACATATGTATATATATTTTGATTTTCTTCAATTGCAACAGCAACGACAACGTCGTCTCGGCGACGAAAACAAAACAGTGACTCATCTTTGAAAATGTCATTATAGAACGTTGTACATACTCGTATGTGAGTATGAACATATGCACATACTTGTATGTATATGTATGTATATGAATATGCATGTAGGCGGCGAGTTTTAAAAGAATTGCGCATCTGGCGACCAATCAGCTACCTTAGAATATGTAATCCCACTCACCTCCAAGATGGGCTGCTTACAACCAAAGCAAGTATCCGAATAGTTTACAAAACAGTCGGAACAGACCGGCTCGCCATTTTGTATGTTAAAGGTGGACTCCTTGATGGGTCGTTGGCAGTCCTTACAGGCGAAATGCTCCGGGTGCCAGGTCTTTCCGAGCGCTGTGATAATACGCTGCTCTATGGCCTCGTTGCATTTGTGACAGATCGATTCTGGCTCCGACTGTGAAATAAAGCAAAACCAAGGAATTTTACAGAAATACAAAATTTTTTATAAACAAATACAGTATACAGTATAATAAAAATTAAATAAATAAATAAAATTGTATTTAATAGGTTTCAATTTAATTTTAAGAATAGGTCTATGCGTGCTTATGTGCATGTAATTAATTAATTTAATTACTTTTTTGTGGGGTGGTATAGGGTATTTAAGAGTTGAGCCTGCTCGACTTTAGCATTCCTTTCTTGTTTGTTTTTATAAATCTTGACGTTTCCCACTATTTATGGCTTACACCAATATTGACACAAAGAATTAAAGAATAACTGATTCAATACACTTTCCACATGCTTCATGACCAAAAACATGCAATGTCAAGTGCTTACAGCCGCTGGAAATCGATCTGCGAATTCTAGCTAATGGGCATATTTGACATTAGAAAATATTCGAATGAACTTATTAATATAGTAATATTGAAATGTAATATATTTCCAGTGTATTTAAATTCACACAAAAAACTTCAAAACAAAGTTGAGTACAATTTTGAAATTAACTATGGAATTATTATCATGGTTCAACATTAGATTGAGTATAGAACACTTTAATAACAAAGACTTACACTTTGCTCTGAATATTATTTATCATTACAGAGTATTTCAAAGTCGGGACAACCGACTTTAGCTTCTCCTCTTCAGTAATTGAAGATGTTTTTATATAAATTGATGTTGCTTATATTTGATTTAATTACGAAGTATTTGAACATTGAATTGAATATGAAAACATTCGTTGGAACTATGCAATTTTATTTTGAGTGTACTCGAACATACAAGTATGTATATGTATATACGCGTATTTAAATGTAAGCTACTTCGTCAAGTTCATAAACCGCAAAGCAAATATAGCAACAGCACTGGCAGCAACCTATTACTTTGCCATCTACTATACAGTAACAATTTACGTAATGCAATTCAGATGCCAAACCACAAAAACAAAGAACATAAATATTGTAAATAAACTATTCAGCAGCGCAAAATCACAAGTATCGCAAGTACATATAGGCGTTTTATACAACTAAGCACAATCAGTTGTTTTCACAAATCGGCTGACGTGACTATTTTTTTTAAGCTAATACTAATGCGAATATTGACATGATCTTGAGTTGGTTTATCGTTGATATTGCAAGCGTTTTAGGAATTGTTTCAAAACTCACATCATGCCAATAAAGGCAAACAAAGAAATGACCTAAAATATATTCAGAACCAACAATTGTGTTAAAATTGTCGACCAGCTGGTCAAAATTGAAAAATTTGCCTCGTAAATTTTAAAAAGAGCATTTCAAAATAAAACAAGTAATTACCTTTCTCAACCGCATTTTAAAATTCGGCAATCATCCACTGTCATTTAATAACCACCATCAGAGTTGTACGCTTTTAAACAAAATAAGTAGGAATACTTTGAAATACTCTCTACTTATGTGCAGACTAATTATAATAAATGTTATAATCAGTTATACCTTCTTCGGGATTCGAACTCACTTGAGGGGTGTTTGTCTGCACATTTCCATCGGAATTGTGCCTATTTGTGTCTACGAGTGCAGTATAGAGAAAAGCCGAGGCATTAACAACAACAACAGCGGTTGACAGAGCTTAGAAAATTTAACTTTTCTTGCTCTTATATGTACTTTCTGAGATCCTTGCGCTTATACAGACGAATAGACGGACATGGCTATATCGACTCATCTTGTCATATCGATCAATAATATATATATTTACCACTAGTGTAGGCTATAAAAGGGTACCCATAAAAAAGCAGCACTGCATAAAATATCAGATGTTCACACTCAGCTCCAACTATTTATTTACCCCTGCCCGAAAGCCTTCCGCATGACGCGGCAGCTTCGGTGGCATCGGTGGCTGACGGCCGGCGGTCTCACTGCGTCAACGTTGACGTCGGCATCTGCGTCGGCGTTTTTAAATTAATTTTTCCAAAAAAAAGCACACTAATTTTATGTGCTGGCAATTGTTTCGACTACTTATTAGCCTGCTGCTGTTTTGTTACAATTGCTTATTTAAACGCTAACGCTAGAAATTGTACATATACCTATGTACATATTTGTATATGCATATGCATATACCTATGTATATATTTATATGTATATATATACTTATGTATGTATATTAAGAGGCGCCTTCGCACACAAAGAAGCGGCGTCTCACTTAGATCATCGCTAAACTTAGAATTGAATTAAACAAACACACACGAATTTTAAGTACATACGAGTAGTAGTACAAGCATGCAGACCTACATACATACATACTTGTACATACATATGTACACGAGTTGTTTGGATAAGCATTCATACAAAACTACAACAACAACAACAACAGAAGCAAGGGAAGCAGCAAACATTTTGGAGAAAAACGAGACAAATTCTAGAGTTGTGTAAGCACGACTCCTATCTACCCTGTGCTCGCTTCAATAATTAATTGAAATTGAATTTCCAAAACAATTTTATTTTTCAAAATTGTTATCACTTAAATTTACAAAATAGAATGTTACAGTCGAGCAAGTCTGTACATCAAGAAATAAAAACAACGTGCCGTATACTATGTACTTATATACAAGTACAAGATTCGCTAATAACTTTTCTTAGGCTTCGCAGAGGTATACATTTACAAACATATTAGTTACGTATGCAAAGTTTGATTTTTGAATTGTACAATTAGAATAAGACAATATTGACGAAAGGCAGGAAGATGAGGAAAAATCCAAAATTAAAATAAACTCGTGTTGCCTAGGGACTAGAACAGTTTTCTTTGATCAACGTGGGTTCCGAAATCCAGGCGATCAACCAGACCGACGTACAGGCGGACATCTCTAGATCAATTTACCGCTTCATATATGCATACATATATGCCTATAAAAACTTGTATACATTATGGAGAGAAGAAGAAAGCATCTCCGGCCTTCTTCTGCCTGTTACATACAAGTAAATCAGACAAACCTAATATACCCATTACCCGAAAGGTGAAAGGTATAAAAATACACAGCATAGGCACATTTTTAATTTATAGCCATAAATGAACCCTAACGATTAGGCTATTAGGATAAAACTTGTCGTATCAGGTGATTAGGCTCTAAAAGAATGAGATGCGAAATTTGAAATGGAAATTTGAAAGAGTTACAGGTGTTTAAAAAGAGCCCTACTGGGTGGAAGGCGCATCCAAAAGAAACTTAAAACTGATCTACTTATTATAGATGTACGAGTAGATGAGCCTGCATGCCAAATTCTGAAATTGTAGTTTTCGGCATAAAGTATGTATAATTTCCGCAAAAGTGTACTTCTAACCAAAAGCGTTTGCGGAAGGGAAGGTGCATTGAAAAATCACAAGCTTGCCGTCCTATCCTGGACACCCGGACGGACGGACAGACAGACGGGCATGTCTAGACCAAATTTTCTTGTTAAGTTGGCCAATAATATAAGTACAGCTGACGTGGCTTTGGTCCCGCCGAAGGTAAATTTTTCAACTGTTAATTTTATTTATTTATTTATTTAGCTATATTACATTTTCCTTTTTTTTGTTGTACAGCGAAGGTAGACTGAAATAAATATTTCTTCTCGGCCTTTATCGTGATGTATGTATGCCTGTATGTCATTAAATATTAATAAAAACGAACATGGATAATTGAGAATGTCAAGTTCACATTGACAAAATAAATACGTGTTCTATCAATATTGATATCAGTCAATAATTAATAGCTAATTAGATCATTCTATTTGGCTAATACCCTTAGAAAGAAAATTCATAATAAGTTGAACAAAACTCAAGCACTTAATAATAAGTATTAGCTACAAAATGACCGGAATTTAAAAGTTGAGTTGTTGGGTTATTTTTATACCCTGTACACGAAGGGCACAGAAGTGTACACGACATGTCGACGATATAGAAATTGATGTAGTTGATATAGAAATTTGCGTATGAACACAAGGATCTCAAAAAGGATAGAGAAAGAAAAAGTCCAGTTTTTTTCAGATGCACTTCCCCCGCTTGTAATGATATTCCATAATCCTTTACTCAAGTTCTCTACTTGGATTTAGTTAGTGCTTATGTGTCATGTTAAGTTGCATCATAGAAAATAAAGTCTTAGCAATAAGTGTAATCTCGGCCCAAGCTCTGCCAGAAGCTGTTGTTGTTGCTTTGACCTAACTCTGTACTGCACACATACGCGAACACATAGTCACAATAGACACAATATTGATGTAAATGTGTTCTTTTTGAGGGAGTGAATACAGGGTATTTATGAGTTGAGCCCACTCGACTTTTCTTCCTCGTCGGTGCTTTTAATTAGCACGGGCTAGTGGCTTGAACTACGGAAACCCCATTAGCATATGTACGTAGCAATTTAGAAATTTAAAACTTGCATATCACAGATATCCATTAATTTAATTTCGGTACAAGGAGCTTTCTTCAGCTATGATCGCAAATGGCCCATTATGAAATAATATTCGAGCCAGTATTTATTATAAATTAATTTAATCGTATTAAATAATGTAGAGAAAACAAGAAACAATTTTTCAATCTACTAATTGCTTGAGGTGGTTGTGTTTTAAATAGTCGTACTCAAGGGTAAGTGTTATTACTTTTAAAAATGATTAAACTTGTCACTTATACCGTGTGCCCAAAGGTGTAACATCTAGGAGCGCACAAAATATAAAAATTATCTATGTCGTAAAATCGAAAAAATAAAATTTACAACCGCCACTTAAGGCGGTTTTTTTTAGTAACTGTAGCACGATTATTCTCAAGTTTTCAATCGGAAAATAGCCGCAAATCTCGAAGTCTTAGAAAATCTGGACTATGCACGATTGCATAGAACTAAGATACTCAGTTTATGAGAGAAAACAAGCACACACAGACATATTTGGGCTTAGTTTTTATACTCTGTACATGAAATGTACAAGAGTATATTAGGTTTGCGGGAGCTGAAAAATGTAACAGGCAGAA